GGTTAGGTTTACAGACTGACTTCTCTTCTGGTTGTATGCTGTTGCTTTCTGTTTTTATCCTCCTTCGGATTGCGGGTGCGTTTCTGAATTTTTGGTGTGTGCTTTTGCCTTTGTGAGCTGCCAAGAGTCCTTTGCTGCGGGGTATAAATGGGACCCCTCTCCCTCTCAGGCGGACTGGTCAACAGAAGGACTGTCCACAGTCGAAGCTTTGCCCTCCACCGGGCATCCGGAGCTCACCTGTTCTCCTGTCAGCTCTTACGCTGCAGCAAGGAGTTTGCTTCTGTCTCTGGGGTGCCATCTAGTGGCCCCCCAGATTTAAGCAGCGGAAATGCCGCTGCTGGGCAGGTGCTGGTGAAGCCTGAAACGCCACCTTACTGACTCGTGTGTTAAACCGCAGCACACGTGCACTTCTGATTATCCAAAATGGGAAACACAGCAGTACGCCAAAGCCTGTCTGCCCCAGCTTACATTCTACGACGGGGAGAGCTTTTAAAAGGACCTTTCACGGGGAGAGGAGCCAAGCAGCTGTGGCGCCCAGAGGAGCCGCTGGCAGGAAAGGCATTGGCCCTGGCGACGCCACAGTGCAGGACAGGAGCCCCTCGTGACGCGTTTAGCTGCACCCGGTCAGACAAGGATGGCCCTGCACCAGGTCAGGGCTTCGTGCTCCGGAGGCTGACCAGTTGGCCAAGCCATTTCTCTCTCTTCTATTGGCAACCCGTTTGAAAGAGGAGGAACCGGCTGGGACAGCCGGAGCTCTGCTCTTCCAGCACTCGAGAACAAGCGCCGAGGCCGGTGAGAATGGCGATCCCCAGTGGAGTGGAACCCAGCAGATCGCTGCCCCCAGTCCCTTCAGGCTTCCTTGGCTGGCCAGGCAGGATGGGGGGACAAGGCTCTGGTTGGATTTCTAGACTGCTTATGGCAATGCTCCCACTTCTTTTGATGTGACCCAGGCCTTGAGGGTTTTCATCCCCCAACCCTCACAGGGTTCAGCTGGAAGCCCTCCTGGGCAAACAGGGCCAACCTTATTTTTACCGGTCCTTGTGAGAGGCAGTTTATTCCATGTTAGCGGCCTATCTTCCAGAAAACCCAGACTAGGGTCCCTCAGCCCCTCTCTTCCACCACTTGCAGTGCTTATCATGCGCTGGCGGTAATCCTTCTCTTTCCAGTCTTTTTCGATGGACCAAAGTGATTGCAGAATCAGAGTTGGAAGGAGCTTCTGAAGTCATCCAGTTCAACTTGCTGAAACCAAGTCAAAGCGTTCCTGCCTGACGGCTGTGCAGCCACTCCTTCAACATAAAGGGGAACCCATCACCTCTCCGAAACATCGGTTCCACTGTCAAGCTGCTTTTTTTCTAGCACTCAACTGGAACCTCCCTTCCTGTAACTTAAATCCATTATTCCATGTCCGGCATCAAGAGAAAACAGGACCCAACTGTCTTTGGTGTGACATCTTCCAGCTGTCTGATGAGCATTAGTCTCCCCTCATCGTCCTTTCTCAAGGCGGAGCACACGCAGCTCCTCTAATCTCTCTTCGCAGCCTTAGTTTCTATTCCCCCATCCCCTTTCTCTGAACCTGTTCCAATTTAACTGAATCCTTTTCAAAGAACAGTGTCCAGGACTAGGCGCGCTACTCTATTAAGGAACTTCCACGATACAAAGAGGGACAGATTTGTCTGGCAAGATTTGTTCTTGACACTCACACTGAAGTCTTGTAATTACCGGATCGTTTTCAAGGTGCGTACAAGCCGTTTCCTTCATGAGCTGCTCTAGAATCTTTAGACTGGTCTGCAGTTTCCCACATTTTCTGTCTCTGTTCTTTCCGATTTGGTCTCCTTCAGTTATCTGGCACTCCACCAGTTCTCCAGGATTTTTCAACGGCGACACATGAGGGTTCAGCCAGACTATCAGCTACTTCCTTTAGTATCCTGAGATGCCATTCATCTGGTCCTGGAGACTGAAGCTCATTCAAATTAAGGAGGCATTTCCTGACTACAGAGTTGTAAATTTTAACCTTCAATCCTGCCTCTTCATCCTGCTCTTCAAATTTCCTGATGGAGCGTTTTTTGTTGTTGTCGTTGTTCATGGGACCAAAAAAGGAATTCAGTAGCTCTGCCTTTTCTCGGTTACCCATTAGGATTTTGCTATTTTCGTTCATGATGGATGGAAAGACCATCTAATGCCCTGGCACCTTGTGCTTCCTTCCTAAGTCTTTCAAGTCTGTGGCAAATACAGCAGCAGCTGATCTTTGCAGCATCATTTGTCCCCAGATGGATTAGCAGGAAGGGATAATGATCACTGGGCTTGATAAATTTTGGAAGCTGTTCTGTCACCATACTCCTGGTAGTCAGCACACTTGTTTCAGCTCCTCATAGTGGTGACCCTTCAACTACCACAACTCTCCCCTTTGTCTTCTTGCAGGGCACAACTGCTGCCCCCAAAATCCTTTGGAGGTCTATCATCATGTCTCCTGTTCTGCAATACCTTTTTTTCCTCCCCTGAAGACTCAAAAAATCTGTTCCCTTTGTGAGAACCTAAAAGTAGTTTCTGAAGCCCGTGAGTACCGGTTTGTACCGAAGATTCAAAAAATCTGTTTCCTTTGTGAGAACCCAAAACCAGTTCCTGAACCCCATCAGTACAGGTTTGTTTCAATTCTGTTTGTAATGGAGAGTTGTTTCCTTTGTCAGTTTTTGTTACACAATATTTTTTCTCTAATCTGCTAAATTCTTGTCTCTTATCAACTGAACTTAAACTGGTCTACTCCAAACTCCACTGGCAAATTCCTGTTAGCTCTCCCTGTTAGCTCACTCACTTCCTTGAAATTGACTACCTTATATTTCTCATATGGTCTCTGCTTACTCAGCCCCCCCCCCCCCCCCC